CGCTGGCACTAGAGGCACAGCATGGCCGCCTAGTAACGGCCCCGACCACTGCCGCTCGACCTGACCGGAAAAAACCGTAGCAGGAAGCTAGCGAAGTCGTAGTATATATCGTCACAAATAGAACTGCCCGGTAAACCGTATATATATATATATATTGTCATTGTCACACTGTGAATCGGAGGGCAAAGGCGGAAAATAGCCTTAGGAGTCGTGGTAGGTAGGTAGTGAAAGGAAAAAGATACAGTAATTTCCATGACAATGGCCGAACAGTCACCCGATGAGGTGAAGACAAAAAAAAAAAGAAAAAAAAAAAGGGAAAGAAAGAAGAAAGATATCATCAGAGTAACCGACCGGCTCTAGGTAATTCAGAATAATTTATTAATTTAATATTGTTTTACTCATCTGCTTCCAGTGGGGATAGAACTCGGGTCTGCATTTATTTAACAGTTCAGGGGTGCATAGGAACTGAACTAGGCCCCGTGGTATATGTCACTATTTCACTGTCTCAACCCCTATAGAGTAAACGGAAAAGGAAGCAGGACACAGGAACGAGGCAGATGGGATGAGAAGGTGTGAGAGAAGGGAGGGGAGGGAGGAGGGAGGAGGAATACGAGAAGGCCATGAAGAGGAGAAGGAAGAAGGAGAAGGAGAGTAAGAAGACGAAGTTGATAAACAGGGAACAGATGAGTCCGAAAAATATCAGATGGGGGGAAGGAGGGGGGAGGAGGGAGGAGGGAGGAGGAAGGAGGGACGAGGGAGAAGAAGGGAGGGAGGGAGAAGGAGAAGGCAGGGAATAAGTGTTATCGCTACATTACCTATATTTAATTCCGCCTGGGGCCTGCGGGGGAAGGAGGGGGAGCAGGGAGGAGGGAGGAGGGAGGAGGTAGAAGGGAGAAGGGAAGGAGGGAGAAGGTGAGGAGGGAGGAGGGAGAAAGGGAGGAGGGAGAGAAGGGGAGGAGGGAGGAGGAGAAGGCTTGGAATAAGCGTTGTCGCTGCATTACCTATACTTAATTGCCGCTTGAGGCCTGCAGGGGCTGTGTCTCGTACAGTGCTGAAGCAGCCTCCCATTGGCGCTGATCCTCCTCGATCGCTCGCCCTTCAAATTAGAAACTAAAAAAATATATATATATATACCGGCTCAGGGCACGGTTTTTTTCATCAGGAATCCTAGTTAAAAATAAAAACAAACAATAAAACACATAAAATATATAATTTATCTCATTAACAAATCTTCACTCAGAAGACTCGGAGATCTTTCTACGCTACTTCTTCCCTCTTGCTTAATCAGCCTTCCTCGAAGACACCCCCAAGAACCGAAGGGGTCCTCCCTCTAAAAGGGGGGCGACGGGGAAGAAGGGGTGGGGGTGGGTGTCGACGTGGGGGTGGGTGGGTGGGTGTGGGTGGGTGGGTGGGTGTGGGGGGGCCCGGGGAGTTGGGGGCTATTGTTATTAAAAAAAAAAAAAAAAAAAAAAAAAAACAGCTTGGAAGTTCTAACTCCTCGGTCGTCCCTCCTCTAGATATCAACTCCTACTACTAGATTATTATCCACAGCGACAACGATTACTATTCATTGAATCTGACCAAATCATATGGGCCGAGGGATGACTATTCATTGAATCAGACCGAATTACATCGATCGAGATCGACATCCACATCGACCGATCGATCGATTGCTCGATCGACACAGAGGGCATCGACACACCACTCTCGACATGTGTAAAATGCAAGTGAACTTCCCGCTAGAATATGGTCAGATGCATCCGCCACAATTTTGTCTTTTTCACATTTCGAGAGTGGTGTGACGAGGCCCAGAGTGAGCAACAAGGATGACTATTTCCATCGACATCGATCGATCGATCGACACAGATAGATAGATAGATAGATAGACACAGAGAGAGAGAGAGAGAGAGAGAGAGAGAGAGAGAGAGAGAGAGAGAGAGAGAACGTGGCCTTAAGATTAGATTAATTACTGTATGTCCTTCTGACTACACGAAGACCTCGTCGAGACGTCGTTCTCGATTCCCTATCTCTACGATCACCGCCATAGCTTCGGCAGGCAGGCCATAGTCACACTAGGACTTCTTCTATAAAGCTCTGGTCGTGATCGCAGCCAGATTCATCCAGGTCTAGTCGTAATCGCAGTCAGATGCATTTTGGAAAGTGCTGGTGTGTGTCTGCCTCAGAAGGCGAACCCCCTCAGTCTTAGCAACTGCAGAGAAAGAGGACGGAACAGTCTCTGTGATGCTATGGGAGGGGAGGCGGAAGGATCGTCATTGAACTAACCGGCCCAAGTAAAGTAATTCAGATTTTTTTATTTATTAAAAAGTAAGCTTTTTTTTTTTTTTTTTCAGAAATTTCTGGTCATCTGCTCTTAGCTGGATTCGAACTCGGATCTGTATTTCAGCAGTTTGTGGGTGTGCCAACTGAGCCATAGGGTCATTGGAGGAAGTATCTTTCTCCCCGACCTCAAATAAAATAAAAATAAAAATAAAAATAAAAATAAAACAGAAAAAAAAAAGAATCAGACACCTTTTTTTTTTTTCCCTCTCAATTTCACCTCACAATACCTACCTACCACTACTACTAATTTATTTATTTTTTATTTTTATTTATATATTTTTTATTTTTACAGTCCCCGCTCGGAAACTTCCAGGCCGTCGAGATCCGATCTATTCGACGGCCGTACTGAGTCACTCGATGCCACACGTGATCGAAATCCTGAACGGCGTGGTAGAATACCTTGCTAGTGGGTCCAGGCCCCTGATTGTAGGCATAACCTGTAGCGAAAACTAGAGACGATTGGAAAGGCCGCTGACTGTTTTAACTCTTGAGTATTGTGAGGGGATACTCGAACTAGGACTTTTTCGGCTCAGCTCTGGACGTGATTGCGGTCAGATGCATCCAGATCGGGCCGCAATTGAGGTCAGATACATTTAGAAAAGTGCTAGTCTGACTATACCCTGAGGCAAAACTGGTGGAAGTTTGTTTCCAAGCACCTGTGATTGACTTCCCCCAGAGTTTTGACTTGAAAGATGATGTCACTGGGCATACTCACACCAGGACTTCTTTTCCACTGGGTTCTGGACGTAATTCCAGTCATGTACATTCACGTCCTGTTGTTACTGTCCAGGAAAGTCCTAGTGTGGTGAGTACGCCCTCAGATCCGCTTTGGTCCCCCAGTGTAACAGTTTCCCTATTAAGAAAGTGCGTGTTTCATGACCAACGTCTTCTTTCCTCATTAACCTTCCGGCTATTTTTCGAAAAAAGACGCCCAACTTCTGTCCCCACATAAACGTTTCTCCTCTGTGTGGGCCTAGTTGCACTACTCGCCATCCGCCAACATTTTGAATGCATCTGGACAACAGTAAGTCCAGATGCATTCGAAATGCTGGCGGATGGCGAGTAGTGCAACTAGGACACACACAAACACACACACTCAACCTCCTGATGAGTCGGTGAAAGTCCGACGAAACAGTCTACAGTCATGCTTTTTTTTTTAGCATATNACCTCCTGATGAGTCGGTGAAAGTCCGACGAAACAGTCTACAGTCATGCTTTTTTTTTTAGCATATAGCGAATATGACAACACACACACACACACACACACAGGGCCTAGTTGCACTACTCGCCCGTCAAAATTCGTGGCGGTGCGTGGAGAGTGAAAAATATGAAAATCGCGTCGAACTCGAGGCCTGCTTGCACTTAGGGCCTCGCCACACCACTCTTGAAACGGGGAATTTTTTCAAGAGCTGTCAGACGTTCTCAAGAGTTGGGTTTTCAAGAGTTTCCGGCCCCTCACCACACAGCACTCTCGAAAGGGCGATGGTGTTGGACAACCTATGAAAAAAGACAGTCGTACAGCTTAGTTTTTCCGAATGGCGTCAACTCTCGAAAATCGAAAGTCCCTCAAGGGTTTGGTCGAGGACGCTTGAAAATGCACGAGTTGCAGGCTGGGGTTTCCCATCTTTCAAGAGCTGCTCTTGAAAGGGTTTCAAGAGCTGCTCTGACAGCCCTTGACTGCCCCAAGTTTCGAGAGGCTGTGTGGCAATGCACCAACTCTTGAAAACGAGTTTTCAAGAGTGGTGTGGCGAGGCCCTTACTCGCCACTAGATTTCTTCTACGGAAAAATTATTTTTTTTTGTCTACCCGATGTCGACTCGTAAAGCCCTGCACTCTCCAAAAAGTTGTTTTGTGGAGAGGTCCGAGGACCACCCTCCACAAGCCGCCGTGCACAGGCGGGGAAACCTAATTCACTCTCTACAACTTGTGTCGACAGTGTGGCGAGCCGTCTGACACATTTTGCATTCGTCAAGTTTGGTGAGTAAGTGAAACCAGGTGCCTACTCGCCAAACTTGACATTTGGCGAGTAGTGCAACTAGGCCCACACACACAGGGCCTCGCTGCACGGTGCACGAAACGAAAAAAAAAAACGACTTCGTTTCGTGGAGTCGCCGCACAGCACCCACCTTTCTTCCCATTTTATTGCAGGATCCACAAAATTCTGCCAGTGTTGTTCCCACCACCTCCAAATCCTTTTGGAGGCTGGGCACTCCCACCAAAGATGCTTAGTCGACTCAAAAGGCCAACTGCATCTTGAACATTTCAGTTCCACTGTCATTCCCTTCCCTGCAAGCCATACCGCTGAAGGCGTGACCATCAGTGAAAGCATCCACAGGATGCTAACTTGTTTACCATTCGGAAGATGTGTTAAGGTCTCCCACAGAGTAGCGAACATTGGAGCGGCAGCAGACAAATCCTCTGTAGAAATTGTTTGCCACCTGCTTACAGCAACTTCTGCTGGGGTCCTCTGCTTGGACCGTTGTTCCCTCATTTGATAGCCTGTTGCCAGTGTGTATTCAGCTATGCTTACGGTTGTATGGCGCGCCTCGCCAATTGACCAACTCCAAGCCAATGGGTCTATACATAGCTTCCTCAAAGTTGTTCGGCCTACCCAAGTCGGCATTCGATTCGTTGCTGACCCTCGGACGCTAATGTAATACGTGCCTGTGGGGGATCGTTCCACCTCATGATGACTCTTGTTTCCACAAAGGACAGTCTGTTGGTGTGCTGGTCGCAGCGCCATTCCTCCATCTTTCTAAACCCACTTGGTGTGATTTCTACCAATTTCCAGATCTTTTCTCCCTCCTCACTCTCTGCTACGGACCAAGTCCCTAGCGGATCCACTCCGTTTGGGCCCAGTACTTGTTTCCACTCTTCCGGAATACCTGCCAGCAACTGCCTCCAATGGTCCTCAACGTTCCTAAGACCTCTTAACTCTCCCTTTACCTCTGCCAATGGGCGCCAAGTCCCTAACAGGTCAGACCACAGATCCCCAATCCTTACTATCCCTCTTCTGATCCATGATTGCCCGAAGGAGCCCGTGGATCCATCTGCTGCAAAGGTTTCATTCCCTCCTTTCACGATCCGCGGATTTTCAAACAAACCGCGGATTTTCAAACAAAATCTGTGCCTTTATTTCCTCCTTGGTTTTGGGTGGGGTGCTAGCTTGTTCCATGCTCGTAGCACCTCTCTCCAGAATCTTGATCTCAGCCTTTTCTTCCTGTAGGATGGGATAAATATGCAGGCCCACACGTCTTGGGGCCGGTGTAGCTCCCACTCACCCATCAGAACCTGTTCTGCAAGCTCCACCCACTGTTCTTTGGACGGGGCTGTTGCAATCTTGTTGACCCAATTACATAGCTGTGCTTGATTCTTCTTTGCTGGGTCGACAAAACCCAATCCTCCCGGAGATCTCGAAAAGGTCAACAGATCCCAGGCCACTTTCACCAGGAAACCTTCTCCATTCTGTGCTCTTGGTTTCCACAGAAAGCGTGCTACCAGTCTCTTTATAGCCTGCAGAATTCCCGCCGCCACTTCTCTTACTGTGCAGACAAACCAAAGGATGGAAAACAGTGCAGTATTCGACACTAGTACTCTACCAATAATTGACAGGTGCCAAAGCATTCTCCATGTTGTCAATCTGACCGCCACGCGCTGCTGAGAAAAGAGTACTCTGTCATTACTCCTTTCAGTGCGTTCATTGATGATGGCGTATGCTCGCTGACCACAAACAGATCGTCAGCGAGAGCTTTCACCTTGCATTCTGATCCACTGTGGAGCCTCAATCCTTTGATGAGAGGGTTACGTCGGATTCTGTTGAGGAGAACCTCCATCTGCAATACGAACAGCAAGGGAGCAAGGGGACACCCCTGTCGCAGCGAG